GAACCTAGTGGAACATCTGGAGCTAAAGAATTTTGAAACAAAGCATCAGCATGGGTCCAGGGATTGCAAATCATGCCTCACAGGATTAATTGAATTCTATGACCAGGCAACAAAAATCAGGCAAGAGAGAGAGAGAGGGCTAGGCAGACTGCATATTTCTGGATCTGAATGAACTGCACTTCAAATTGCTGGAAGACCGAAGAGCTGGGGAAGACATGATCACCACATGCAAATTTTTCAAGTGAATTGACAAGGTAGACAAGGATGGATTATTTCACACGAGTGGTACACGCACCAGAGGACACGGGTGGCAAATGAGTACCCACATGAGCCACAGGGACGTTAAATAGAACTTTTTCAGTGTCAGAGTAGTTAACAAATGGAATGCATTAGGCAGTGATGTGGTGGAGGCTGACTCCATACACAGTTTCAAGTGTAGATATGATAGAGCCCAATAGGCTCAGGAATCTGTACATCAGTTGATTGACAGTTGAGAGGCGGGACCAAAGAGCCAGAGCTCAACCCCCGCAAGCACAACTAGGTAAGTACACGTACAGACACACACACACACACACACACACACACACACACACACACACACACTCACACACACACACACACACACACACACACACACACACACACACACACACACACACACACACACACACACACTCACGGCCCCTGGAGAGCGAGCCAGCCCGCCCTGGCGGTCGGGATGGCTCGTGAGATTTAAATAATATATACTAAGTAAATCAACCCTTTCATCTCAATCGCCCCGAGCTGCCGTCCACTCCAGCAGCGAGCCAGGCCGTGCCAGGCCGTGCCAGGCCGTGCCAGGCCGTGCCAGGGCGTGCCAGGCCGTGCCAGGCCGTGCCAGGCCGTGCCAGGGCGTGCCAGGCCGTGCCAGGCCGTGCCAGGCCGTGCCAGGCCGTGCCAGGCCGTGCCAGGCCGTGCCAGGGCGTGCCAGGCCGTGCCAGGGCGTGCCAGGCCGTGCCAGGCCGTGCCAGGCCGTGCCAGGGCGTGCCAGGCCGTGCCAGGGCGTGCCAGGGCGTGTCAGGCCGTGCCAGGCCGTGCCAGGCCGTGCCAGGTAGACAGAGAGGCATGCACACATGCTTAGAGACAGGCATTCATTGAGATTGACAGTATCATCAACGTTACACAATAATGTATTCTCAAGTAAGAATACATTATTGAGACAAAATATATATGACCAGCAGTCAGATATACAGCCTGGGCTTCTCTCTCTCTCTCTCTTCTCTCTCTCTCTCCTCTCTCTCATATCTGTAGTATCTCTCTCTCCCTCTCTCTGACTCCCTCTCTCTCCCTCTCACTTCTCCCTCTGTCTCCCTCTGTCTCTTCTCGTCTCCCTCTGTCTCCCTCTGTCTCCCTCTGTCTCCCTCTGTCTCTCCCCCTCTGTCTCCCTCTCTGTCTCCCTCTCTCTCCCTCTCTCTCCCTCATCTCTCCCTCTCTCTCCCTCTCTCTCTCTCTCTCTCTCTCTCTCTCTCTCTCTCTCTCTCTCTCTCTCTCTCGTCTCTCTCTCTCTCTCTCTCTCTCTCTCTCTCTCTCCCTCTCTCCCTCCTCTGTCTCCCTCTGTCTCCCTCTGTCTCCCTCTCTCTCTCCCTCTCTCTCCCTCTCTCTCCCTCTCTCTCCCTCTCTCTCTCTCTCTCTCTCTCTCTCTCTCTCTCTCACACACACACACACACACACACACACACAGGCCTCGCGGCTGAATGGACAACGCTCTGGGGTAGTAGTCCTAGGGCTTGGGTTCAATTCCCGGCAGAGGCGGAAACAAATGGGCAGTTTCTTTTACCCTGATGCGACTGTTCACCTAGCAGTAAATAGGTACCTGGGAATTAGACAGCTGCTATGGGCTGCTTCCTGGGGATGTGTGTGTGTGTGTGTTAGAGAGATAAACATGTAGTAGAAATAATAGAGGAAAAATAAATTGCTTAGAAAGGCGGGGTCCAAGAGCCTGTAGCTCGATTCTGCTGAAACAAATAGTAAAAAAAAAAATATTACACAAACACACACAAGAATGGGTTCAGGGATGGTAAATCATGCCTTTTAGGTTAAAAAAAATCTATGACCAGGCGACAAGAATTAGCCCAGAAACACAAGGGTGAGCAGACTGCATTTTCCTAGACTGTCAGAAAGCATTTGACACAGTACCTCATAGGATCCTGTTACAAAATTTGGAGAACCAGGCAGGAGTGGGAGGTAAGGTGCTCCGGTGGGTAAGGGAGTGTCTAAGCAACAGGAAACAGTGAGTAACTGTGAGGGGTGAGGGAGATCTCAGGGTGGCGAGATGTCACCAGCGGGGCTTGGTAGGTTAGGATATATCTTGAGGTTATCTTGAGATGATTTCGGGGCTTTTTCTTAGTGTCCCCGCGGCCCGGTCCTCGACCAGGTCTCCACCCCCAGGAAGCAGCCCGTGACAGCTGACTAACTCCCAGGTACCTATTTACTGCTAGGAAACAGGGGCATTCAGGGTGAAAGAAACTTTGCCCATTTGTTTCTGCCTCGTGCGGGAATCGAACCCGCGCCACAGAATTACGAGTCACTTTAGTACGACAGTTTCTAGATGTTGGGGACGGTGGTGAGAACGGGCTGTGTGACGAACCTCATCCACACACACACACACACACACGCACACACACGGTGTCAGCAAGGCGGACAGCCCGCCTCCAATATTCCATGTATCAAAACTTTCCCTTCACCTGTACCTCTTCATCTTCTTTACTTAAAAACAATCCAGGACCGCGGGCTCAAGCCCCCGATGCAGGACGGAAGCATTTGGGCAACAGATACCTGTGAGTTAGAGAGCTGTTGTGGGTGGCATCCTCGGGGTGTTCAACCTGTAGCAAGTGCAGAGAGAACAAGAACGAACAAACACAACAAAGACAGACAACTTCAGAGCGAGGAAATAGAAAAGTCGCCCACCAATCAATAGTCAATTACCAATCATTGCTTACCAACGTAATCAGCGATTGTGCTCCAAAAAATTTTAATGAAGCGAAGAATTGGTTTGAAAAGCAGTCCACGCCTTGTGTGTGTGTGGGGGGGGGGGGAGGGCGCCCCCCCCCCAAGCCTCCCTCATGTCTGGGGGAGCGGTGGCTGGAAATGTACTCACCTAGTTGTGCTTGCGGGGGTTGAGCTCTGGCTCTTTGGTCCCGCCTCTCAACTGTCAATCAACAGGTGTACAGATTCCTGAGCCTATTGGGCTCTATCATATCTACACTTGAAACTGTGTATGGAGTCAGCCTCCACCACATCACTGCCTAGTGCATTCCATCTGTTAACTACTCTGACACTGAAAAAGTTCTTTCTAACGTCTCTGTGGCTCATTTGGGTACTCAGTCTCCACCTGTGTCCCCTTGTTCGTGTTCTACCAAGAACAGCGAGGTGGTGGCTGGCAGTGGCTGAGGTAGATGTAGTGGTAGATGTAGTGGTAGATGTAGTAGTAGTTGTAGTAGATGAAGTAGATAAGGTGAAGATGAAGGTGGAGAGCAAGGGTTGTTGAGGAAGGTCCCTCTACCTCACGCCCCCCCCCAGGACCTTCAGGACCCCCAGGACCCCCAGGACCCCCAGGACCCCTTCACAAACGAGCAGGGCCCCTGATTGTTGAACTATCTGCCCGGTGAGGCAGAATGGCCCCGGATTGACAAGTAATCAACCAAGAGAATTCCGACTCTTGCACGTGATTAAATCTGTGTGGTAGTACCCTTGTCCCCCACCCCCTCTCTCTCCCTGGTGTGGTAGTACCCTTGTCCCCCCCCCTCTCTCTCCCTGGTGTGGTAGTACCCTTGTCCCCCCCTCTCTCTCCCTGGTGTGGTAGTACCCTTGTCCCCCACCCCCTCTCTCTCCCTGGTGTGGTAGTACCCTTGTCCCCCACCCCCTCTCTCTCCCTGGTGTGGTAGTACCCTTGTCCCCCACCCCCTCTCTCTCCCTGGTGTGGTAGTACCCTTGTCCCCCCCCCTCTCTCTCCCTGGTGTGGTAGTACCCTTGTCCCCCACCCCCTCTCTCTCCCTGGTGTGGTAGTACCCTTGTCCCCCACCCCCTCTCTCTCCCTGGTGTGGTAGTACCCTTGTCCCCCACCCCCTCTCTCTCCCTGGTGTGGTAGAACCCTTGTCCCCCACCCCCTCTCTCTCCCTGGTGTGGTAGTACCCTTGTCCCCCCCCTCTCTCTCCCTGGTGTGGTAGTACCCTTGTCCCCCCCTCTCTCTCCCTGGTGTGGTAGTACCCTTGTCCCCCACCCCCTCTCTCTCCCTGGTGTGGTAGTACCCTTGTCCCCCACCCCCTCTCTCTCCCTGGTGTGGTAGTACCCTTGTCCCCCACCCCCTCTCTCTCCCTGGTGTGGTAGTACCCTTGTCCCCCACCCCCTCTCTCTCCCTGGTGTGGTAGTACCCTTGTCCCCCACCCCCTCTCTCTCCCTGGTGTGGTAGTACCCTTGTCCCCCACCCCCTCTCTCTCCCTGGTGTGGTAGTACCCTTGTCCCCCCCCCCCCTCTCTCTCTCTCCCCGGTGTGGTAGTTCCCTTGCCCCCCCCTCTCTCTCTCCCTGGCGTGGTAGTACCCTTGTCCCCCCCCTCTCTCTTTCCCTGGTGTGGTAGTACCCTTGCCCCCCCTCTCTCTCTCTCCCTGGTGTGGTAGTACCCTTGTCCCCACCCTCTCTCTCTCCCTGGTGTGGTAGTACCCTTGTCCCCCCCCCCCTCTCTCTCTCCCTGGTGTGGTAGTACCCTTGTCCCCCCCCCCCCCTCTTCTCCCTGGTTTGCAAGGTGCAGTTCAGTTTGCATTAAGGGTTTATCCTCCCGAAGGGGGTTAATCCCCCCCCCCCAATTAACAAAGTACAGGGGGGTATAATTGGTGGATCACAGGTCACCAGGCAACAAGGGTCACCAGAGAGGCGCCCCACACACACCTTGTGACCTCATCTCTCACCTTCCCTCTAACACCATCACCAAAAGAATACAAATTTAGCAGTGAGACGAATCAAAGGCTTACGACACAGTCTGTGGGGAGGTGGAAAGTCTGTGAGGGCGGTGGAAAGTCTGTGACGGAGGTGGAAAGTCTGTGAGGGCGGTGGAAAGTCTGTGACGGAGGTGGAAAGTCTGTGAGGGGGGTGGAAAGTCTGTGACGGAGGTGGAAAGTCTGTGAGGGCGGTGGAAAGTCTGTGAGGGCGGTGGAAAGTCTGTGACGGATGTGGAAAGTCTGTGACGGAGGTGGAAAGTCTGTGAGGGGGGTGGAAAGTCTGTGAGGGCGGTGGAAAGTCTGTGAGGGCGGTGGAAAGTCTGTGAGGGCGGTGGAAAGTCTGTGACGGAGGTGGAAAGTCTGTGACGGAGGTGGAAAGTCTGTGACGGAGGTGGAAAGTCTGTGAGGGCGGTGGAAAGTCTGTGACGGAGGTGGAAAGTCTGTGCCGGCGGTGGAAAGTCTGTGACTGAGGTGGAAAGTCTGTGAGGGAGGTGGAAAGTCTGTGAGGGCGGTGGAAAGTCTGTGACGGAGGTGGAAAGTCTGTGACTGAGGTGGAAAGTCTGTGAGGGCGGTGGAAAGTCTGTGACGGAGGTGGAAAGTCTGTGACTGAGGTGGAAAGTCTGTGAGGGCGGTGGAAAGTCTGTGACGGAGGTGGAAAGTCTGTGACGGAGGTGGAAAGTCTGTGAGGGCGGTGGAAAGTCTGTGAGGGCGGTGGAAAGTCTGTGACGGAGGTGGAAAGTCTGTGCCGGCGGTGGAAAGTCTGTGAGGGCGGTGGAAAGTCTGTGACGGAGGTGGAAAGTCTGTGACGGAGGTGGAAAGTCTGTGAGGGGGGTGGAAAGTCTGTGAGGGCGGTGGAAAGTCTGTGAGGGCGGTGGAAAGTCTGTGAGGGCGGTGGAAAGTCTGTGACTGAGGTGGAAAGTCTGTGAGGGCGGTGGAAAGTCTGTGACGGAGGTGGAAAGTCTGTGACGAAGGTGGAAAGTCTGTGAGGGGGGTGGAAAGTCTGTGCCGGCGGTGGAAAGTCTCTGACTGAGGTGGAAAGTCTGTGAGGGCGGTGGAAAGTCTGTGTGGGCGGTGGAAAGTCTGTGACGGAGGTGGAAAGTCTGTGAGGGGGGTGGAAAGTCTGTGACGGAGGTGGAAAGTCTGTGACGAAGGTGGAAAGTCTGTGAGGGGGGTGGAAAGTCTGTGAGGGGGGTGGAAAGTCTGTGAGGGCGGTGGAAAGTCTCTGACTGAGGTGGAAAGTCTGTGAGGGCGGTGGAAAGTCTGTGACGGAGGTGGAAAGTCTGTGAGGGCGGTGGAAAGTCTGTGACGGAGGTGGAAAGTCTGTGAGGGCGGTGGAAAGTCTGTGAGGGCGGTGGAAAGTCTGTGTGGGCGGTGGAAAGTCTGTGACGGAGGTGGAAAGTCTGTGAGGGCGGTGGAAAGTCTGTGAGGGAGGTGGAAAGTCTGTGACGGAGGTGGAAAGTCTGTGACGGAGGTGGAAAGTCTGTGACGGAGGTGGAAAGTCTGTGAGGGCGGTGGAAAGTCTGTGACGGAGGTGGAAAGTCTGTGATGGCGGTGGAAAGTCTGTGACTGAGGTGGAAAGTCTGTGACGGAGGTGGAAAGTCTGTGAGGGCGGTGGAAAGTCTGTGACGGAGGTGGAAAGTCTGTGATGGCGGTGGAAAGTCTGTGAGGGGGGTGGAAAGTCTGTGAGGGCGGTGGAAAGTCTGTGAGGGCGGTGGAAAGTCTGTGAGGGCGGTGGAAAGTCTGTGAGGGGGGTGGAAAGTCTGTGAGGGGGGTGGAAAGTCTGTGAGGGCGGTGGAAAGTCTGTGACGGAGGTGGAAAGTCTGTGAGGGCGGTGGAAAGTCTGTGACGGAGGTGGAAAGTCTGTGAGGGGGGTGGAAAGTCTGTGACTGAGGTGGAAAGTCTGTGACGGAGGTGGAAAGTCTGTGAGGGCGGTGGAAAGTCTGTGACGGAGGTGGAAAGTCTGTGAGGGCGGTGGAAAGTCTGTGACGGAGGTGGAAAGTCTGTGAGGGCGGTGGAAAGTCTGTGACGGAGGTGGAAAGTCTGTGAGGGCGGTGGAAAGTCTGTGAGGGGGGTGGAAAGTCTGTGAGGGGGGTGGAAAGTCTGTGAGGGCGGTGGAAAGTCTGTGAGGGGGGTGGAAAGTCTGTGACGGAGGTGGAAAGTCTGTGAGGGCGGTGGAAAGTCTGTGACGGAGGTGGAAAGTCTGTGAGGGCGGTGGAAAGTCTGTGACGGAGGTGGAAAGTCTGTGACGGAGGTGGAAAGTCTGTGACGGAGGTGGAAAGTCTGTGAGGGCGGTGGAAAGTCTGTGACGGAGGTGGAAAGTCTGTGCCGGCGGTGGAAAGTCTGTGACTGAGGTGGAAAGTCTGTGAGGGAGGTGGAAAGTCTGTGACGGAGGTGGAAAGTCTGTGACGGCGGTGGAAAGTCTGTGACTGAGGTGGAAAGTCTGTGACGGAGGTGGAAAGTCTGTGACGGAGGTGGAAAGTCTGTGAGGGGGTGGAAATTCTGTGAGGGGGGTGGAAAGTCTGTGAGGGCGGTGGAAAGTCTGTGAGGGGGGTGGAAAGTCTGTGAGGGCGATGGAAAGTCTGTGAGGGCGGTGGAAAGTCTGTGAGGGGGGTGGAAAGTCTGTGAGGGCGGTGGAAAGTCTGTGAGGGCGGTGGAAAGTCTGTGAGGGCGGTGGAAAGTCTGTGAGGGGGGTGGAAAGTCTGTGAGGGGGGTGGAAAGTTTGTGAGGGCGGTGGAAAGTCTGTGAGGGCGGTGGAAAGTCTGTGAGGGGGGTGGAAAGTCTGTGAGGGGGGTGGGAAATGTGAGATATGATCATTACCATATACGCAGCTACACTGGGGTCTGGTAGCTGAATGGACAGCGCGCGGAACTCGTAATCCTGTGGCCCGGGCCGGCAGAGACAAATGGGCAGAGTTTGTTTTACCCTGATGCTCCTGTTACCTAGCAGTAAATATCAGTTGCTTCCTAGGGGTGTGTGTGCGCATGAAAAAAATTAGTTAGTATTTGGAAACAGTTGATTGACAGTTGAGAGGCGGGCCGCAAGAGCAGAGCTCAACTCCCGCAAACACAACTAGGTTAATACACACGTGGCGTCAGCAAGGCGGTCAGCCCGACCATTGTTATGACTTGCCATGCATCTCCCCACCCCCCACCCCCCTGTGCTCTTTCCTCAGCCCTTATACCCTTTCATGAATTGTCCTCCGCCTCTTTTCTTCCCCTCCCCTTCACCCCTTACATCCTCCCCCTCCCAGTATGGGAAGCACCAACACATACACATCAGTATACATGTGAATACCCCCCAAAGTATTCATAGACACACTTCCAAATGGGGTAAAGTGCTTCTACCATCTCCTCTTAGCTACACCCAGCATCTTCCCCTCTTCTCTCCTACCCTCTTCTCTCCCCTCCCTCCCTCCCCCCCCCCCTGCCCATTTTCCCCCCCCCCCTGCCCATTTCCTCCCCCCCTCCCCCAGGACCCGGGAGCACCTTGAGACCAAATTGTCACTCTTATTGTTCATTTTCCTTTCAAATTTTCCGACGGTGATTACCGGAGATTCAAGGACTTGAACGACGACCCTCCCTCCACCCAGGACGACCCTCCACCACCCAGGACGACCCTCCCTCCACCACCCAGGACGACCCACCCTCCACCACCCAGGACGACCCTCCCTCCACCAACCAGGACGACCCTCCCTCCCTCCACCACCCAGGACGACCCTCCCTCCACCAACCAGGACGACCCACCCTCCACCACCCAGGACGACCCTCCCTCCACCAACCAGGACGACCCACCCTCCACCACCCAGGACGACCCTCCCTCCACCATACAGAACGACCCTCCCTCCCTCCACCACCCAGGACGACCCTCCCTCCCTCCACCAACCAGGACGACCCTCCCTCCCTCCACCACCCAGGACGACCCACCCTCCACCACCCAGGACGACCCTCCCTCCACCACCCAGGACGACCCTCCCTCCACCACCCAGGACGACCCTCCCTCCACCACCCAGGACGACCCTCCCTCCCTACACCACCCAGGACGACCCTCCCTCCACCACCCAGGACGACCCTCCCTCCCACCACCACCCAGGACGACCCTCCCTCCACCACCCAGGACGACCCTTCCTCCCTCCACCACCCAGGACGACCCTTCCTCCCTCCACCACTTAGGACGACCCTTCCTCCCTCCACCACCCAGGACGACCCTTCCTCCCTCCACCACCCAGGACGACCCTCCCTCCCTCCACCACCCAGGACAACCCTCCCTCCCTCCACCACCCAGGACGACCCTCCCTCCACCATCCAGGACGACCCTCCCTCCACCATCCAGGACGACCCACCCTCCACCAACCAGGACGACCCTCCCTCCACCATCCACGACGACCCTCCCTCCACCATCCAGGACGACCCACCCTCCAACAACCAGGACGACCCTCCCTCCATCCACCACCCAGGACGACCCTCCCTCCACCACCCAGGACGACCCTCCCTCCCTCCACCACCCAGGACGACCCTCCCTCCACCACCCAGGACGACCCACCCTCCACCCAGGACGACCCTCCCTCCACCACCCAGGACGACCCACCCTCCACCACCCAGGACGACCCTCCCTCCACCACCCAGGACGACCCTCCCTCCACCACCCAGGACGACCCACCCTCCACCACCCAGGACGACCCTCCCTCCACCACCCAGGTCGACCCTTCCTCCCTCCACCACCCAGGACGACCCACCCTCCACCACCCAGGACGAGCCTCCCTCCACCACCCAGGACGACCCTCCCTCCACCACCCAGGACGACCCTTCCTCCCTCCACCACCCAGGACGACCCACCCACCACCACCCAGGACGACCCTCCCTCCACCACCCAGGACGACCCTTCCACCCTCCACCACCCAGGACGACCCACCCTCCACCACCCCAACAGGTGGGACCACCACCAGTGACTGATCAACAGGTGGGACCACCACCAATGACTGATCAACAGGTGGGACCACCACCAGTGACTAATCAACAGGTGGGACCACCACCAGTGACTGATCAACAGGTGGGACCACCACCAGTGACTGATCAACAGGTGGGACCACCACCAGAGACTGATCAACAGGTGGGACCACCACCAGAGACTGATCAACAGGTGGGACCACCACCAGAGACTGATCAACAGGTGGGACCACCACCAGAGACTGATCAACAGGTGGGACCACCACCAATGACTGATCAACAGGTGGGACCACCACCAGTGACTGATCAACAGGTGGGACCACCACCAATGACTGATCAACAGGTGGGACCACCACTATAGACTGGTCAACAGGTGGGACCACCAGAGAGTGGTCAACAGGTGGGACCACCACCAGAGATTGGCCAACAGGTGGGACCACCAGGGACTGGTCAACAGGTGGGACCACCACCAGTGACTGGTCAACAGGTGGGACCACCACCAGTGACTGGTCAACAGGTGGGACCACCACCAATGACTGATCAACAGGTGGGACCACCACCAGTGACTGATCAACAGGTGGGACCACCACCAGTGACTGATCAACAGGTGGGACCACCACCAGAGACTGATCAACAGGTGGGACCACCACCAGAGACTGATCAACAGGTGGGACCACCACCAGAGACTGATCAACAGGTGGGACCACCACCAATGACTGATCAACAGGTGGGACCACCACCAGTGACTGATCAACAGGTGGGACCACCACCAATGACTGATCAACAGGTGGGACCACCCCTAGTGACTGATCAACAGGTGGGACCACCACCAGTGACTGATCAACAGGTGGGACCACCACAAGAGACTGATCAACAAGTGGGACCACTACCAGAGATTGATCAACAGGTGGGACCACCACTATACGCTGGTCAACAGGTGGGACCAACAGAGAGTGGTCAACAGGTGGGACCACCACCAGAGATTGGTCAACAGGTGGGACCACCAGGGACTAGTCAACAGGTGGGACCACCACCAGTGACTGGTCAACAGGTGGGACCACCACCAGTGACTGGTCAACAGGTGGGACCACCACCAGTGACTGGTCAACAGGTGGGACCACCAGAGACTGGTCAACAGGTGGGACCACCACCAGTGACTGGTCAACAGGTGGGACCACCACCAGTGACTGGTCAACAGGTGGGACCACCACCAGAGATTGGTCAACAGGTGGGACCACCACCAGTGACTGGTCAACAGGTGGGACCACCACCAGAGACTGGTCAACAGGTGGGACCACTACCAGAGACTGGTCAACAGGTGGGACCACTACCAGAGACTGGTCAACAGGTGGGACCACTACCAGAGACTGGTCAACAGGTGGGACCACCACCAGTGACTGGTCAACTGGTGGGACCACCACCAGTGACTGGTCAACTGGTGGGACCACCACCAGTGACTGGTCAACAGGCGGGACCACCACCAGTGATTGGTCAACAGGCGGGACCACCACCAGTGATTGGTCAACAGGTGGGACCACCCGGGACAGGTCAATACGGGCGAGAGTGTTGAGCACATGTAAGCGGTCTGGAAAATTATTAATATATTGGTTAGGCCGGGTGGCTGGCCTGGTGTTGGTGACTCACCAGTGGTTAGTCACTGGTGGTGGTCCCACCTGTTGACCAGTCTCTTGTGGTGGTCCCACCTGTTGACCAGTCTCTTGTGGTGGTCCCACCTGTTGACCAGTCTCTGGTGGTGGTCCCACCTGTTGACCAGTCTCTGGTGGTGGTCCCACCTGTTGACCAGTCTCTTGTGGTGGTCCCACCTGTTGACCAGTCTCTGGTGGTGGTCCCACCTGTTGACCAGTCTCTGGTGGTGGTCCCACCTGTTGACCAGTCTCTGGTGGTGGTCCCACCTGTTGACCAGTCTCTGGTGGTGGTCCCACCTGTTGACCAGTCACTGGTGGTTGTCCCACCTGTTTACGTATCCCTCCCCCACTCTCCCTGCCCCCTCCCCCACTCTCCCTGCCCCCTCCCCCACTCTCCCTGTCCCCTCCCCCACTCTTCCTGCCCCCTCCCCCCTCCCCCACTCTCCCTGCCACCTCCCCCACTCTCCCTGCCACCTCCCCCACTCTCCCTGCCACCTCCCCAACTTTCCCTGCCCCCCTTCCCCACCATCCACCACTCTCCCTTACCTCTTCCCCCTCTTCTTCCCCCCGCCCCCCTCATCTCCACCCCCCCCCCCCACCGAGGGAGGGGCCGGGGGGGGGGCGACTCATCTCGGTAATGCACTGTGATGGGTCCTCCGCGATGACCAGTGGCGAATTTTACGTCAGTGGATGACTGCTATTTCTAACTCCCTCCCTCCTCTCTCTCCCTTTTCTCTTACTCCCTTTTGCTTTCTCTCGTTCCCTTTCTGAGTGTTTGGTAATCTGTCCACGTGCTTGCCTGCCTCACCCTTCCCCCCATCTCTCTCTCTCTCTCTCCCTACTTCTCTACACCCAGTTGTTCTTTCTCACTCTCTCAGTTATCTTTGACCATATTTTCTCCCTGTGTATTACTCTCTATCTCTCCCTGTGTACTATCCTCCCTCTCTCCCTGTGTACTATCCTCCCTCTCTCCCTGTGTACTATCCTCCCTCTCCCTGTGTACTATCCTCCCTCTCCCTGTGTACTATCCTCCCTCTCTCTCCCTGGGTACTATCCTTCTCCTCTCCCTGTGTACTATCCTCCCTCTCTC